TGGAATTCTTTTGGTTAATGATTGGGTTGCTTTGATCATGTTGATTGTAAGCCCTCAGGGGCAGGACCCTCCTTACCATCTTATCTTGAATTGTATTGTAACTGTAATGTCTTCCTTATATAGTAAAGCGCTTCGCAAACTGTTGGCGCTACATAAATCCTGTATAATAATAATATTTTGAATGTTTTTGGGCCCCACCCCCCTGTGATGAAATACATTTGCTATGATTACTATTTTAATAGTCAAAGTGCTATCCTCTATTTCTGGAATTGGGTCATCGTGGCCCCTGGAAGATTATTCCACTCAGTTTGGCTCGCTGTCATTGTGACGTGTCGGATCCAGTGGCAGAGTGCTGGAGCCGCCCTGTGTGTCTGTATACATAAACACGTCTGTCACTTGGTTTATCACGTGTTGTCACGCATGAACGTCTGCAAGGTTGTTGTACTCTGTAATTCTGGCCAATGTTTACATGAAAACACAGGAAGTGAGACGTGTGCTGTTTACATTCTGCAATCTAAAAGTATCGTAAACATGATGACGATCTGCTGTTACTAGAGTTTGCAGCATGTAAAACGCTCATTCTCATCCATTGAGCTACTTGGATATTTGGACTGTTGGGTGCCTATTGAATTCCCATTGGTTTACCACAGAAGAGCTGAGGGACTGCGCGCTGATGTTATACGCTGTGCTCTCTTTCCTGACGGTCAGCATCATCCCGCTGCTTCTCCTGCTTTGCAGAGCCAAGTGGAACTCGGACCTTTCATCTATTCTTGCTGCCCGCCTATAGTGGCTTGGTACCCTCCGGCTATGAGGGGGTTGAGCAGTGGTGTCAGAAGGGGGGTGCGGCCCACACCCGGGTGACAGCATTGGAGGGGTGACACCAAAATTACTGACTGTCAAGGACCGAGAGCCCGACAGTGTCAGGAGAGAGGAAGGGACCCGGCGGCATACCTCATCCTGCCGGGTGAACATCCCCTCCTCTCTCTGCCGGCATTCATCACCAAGATGGCCGCCAACAGTCGTCAATTAGATGACCGTGCATGCGCGATGACGTCACGGCGGGGTGACACCCGGCCTCGGGACGCCCCTGGGGTTGAAGTCATGTATTTTTCAGTGAAGGGGACTGTTAATGCCACAGCATGCACACATTGTTGACTAGGGGTAGGCAAACTCCGACCTATCAGCTGTGGTGAAACCACAAATCCCATCATGCACCTGCCTCTGGTAGTCGTGTCAGTGGCTGTCAGAGTCTTGCTATGCCTAATGGGATTTGTAGTTGTACAACAGCTGGAGGGCCGGAGTTTGCCTACCTACAATTGTGTGCTTCTAACAGTTTGGTGAAGGGCCTTTTTCAGTTCCAGCATGGCTGCGCCCCGTGCATAAAGCCAGCTCCCTAAGGACTCGATGAGTTTGGGGTGGAGGAACTAGAGTGGCCTGTAGGGAGCCCTGACCTCAACCTTATTGTCCACCTTCGAGATGAACTGGATTGCCAATTGAGAGCCGATCTTACCCAACGCCATTATCTGACCTCACAAATGCTCTTTTGAATGGGCGCAAATTCCCACAGACACCCTCCAAAATTTTGGAGAGGAGTGGAGGATGTTCTCGCTGGAAGAGGTGGAGGAAACTCCATATTATTGTCCATGGTTGTGGAATGGGATGCCTAACTAGCTTCTTGATGGTCGGGTGTCCCCAAACTTTGGCCACATAGTGTTACTGGCCGGATCACCAGGGGGAAAATTAGGGAAACTGAAGCAGCCACCACATCTAGGGAACGGTAAGCTGCAATATATTACAGGTTTGCTTTTGGGTTCAGATACAATGTAATCTCTAGGTCGGTGTAGCAGTTGAACAGATGGAACAAATGGCTCCATGTGGCGTAAGGTACACAAGGAGCACCTAGTAGCAATCCCTCACTACAAGATGCTACTACATACTGTACCTCTTGTGTAGCTTACCCCATACAGAGCCAATTGTTTCAGTCTGTTTGGTGATCAGTTGCTACTTCTAGTGATTACAGTTCAGTGATTTAATCTCTGGTGTAGCTCGAGCTGAATGAAGTGACTGGCAGCAATTGGTTAAATCTCTTGGTAGGAAGTGATTACAATTGCCTGTGTATCTGTAGACTAAGCCAATTGGCTTTATAAAATCTCTAGTAATTAATCCCCAGGAACAGCAACGGACTGAACAAATGGCTTTCCTATGACGGAAACTAGCACATAGTAGTGATTAATCCCGCTGGATCACACAATCATCCAGTCATTGGCGATTGATCACTATAAGATGCTGACGCTGCAAATTTTCAGAATCCTCCATGTAACTTAAAGTGACATTAAACCCTCAGATTTTTTAACATAAACCAATACTGTAATGTGCGCCTTACTGTAATCCATGGTTGTTTCCCTTCTCTTTGCTGCTCTTCCTTTTAAATCCTCATGTCTTCTCATGCTTGGGGAGAATTTCCCTTTGCAGCTGAGTGCCTCTTCCTGTAGTGCTGGCTCAGGTTGCAAACCTACACACAGACACCGTGTATCCATTTCAGAGACAAGGCAGTCTGCTGCAAAACAGAAGTTCTGCCCAGCATGAGAAGAGTTACAGATTTAAAAGGAAGAGCAGCTAAGAGAGGGGAAACAACCATGGATTACAGTAAGGCGCACATTACAGTATTGGTTTATGTAAAAAAATCTGAGGGTTTAATGTCACTTTAACCCTTAAACCGGCCGTACACATTGCAATCTGAATGTGAGATCTCTATTCAGTCTCCTTTTTATCTATCAAAATGATTGAATAGAATCCCTACCCAAGAACTTTGTATCCAGTCCAGAGGCTCTCATATGACAGCATTGCTGGTAGATCTAAAGTAGTTTGTTCCATCATCGATAGCAAGGTGTATGGCCAAATTTTAAGTGCATGTAAATCCCATTGTTTTGGTTTGTTATGAATAGCATAGGTAAGGGTTAGGATATCTGTCAGGTTTTTATTGTATGTGTTCCTGCCGGGGAAATTTGCTCTCTTTGCCCTGATGATCATTATCATTGGGGCTTATAATAAGGCCCCTTTCAGATGGGAGGTCTGATCAGGTCCAGCTGTCAGTTTTTCAGGTGGATCGGATGCCCAATGTGAGTCTATGGGCAGTCGGATCTAAAGGGACTGGCATCCGGTTGCCCCCGAGTCTGTCCAGGTCCGGAAAAACAAAAGGGAACAGTGTTCATTTCGCTGGACCTGACCTTGCCGGATCGGGGTCAATCTGACTCATGTCCGTTTACATCCGATTCCCCAAAGACGGTCATTTGTTTTTTCCTCCATTGCAAGATGGTGGAAAAACTGGACAGACACAGATGTCACGGCGATCCGCACCGCTCCGATCAGGATGGGATTTGTGCACGGACAGTGTGAAAGGGGCCTAAGGCAAAAATCCAAATGTTACCTTGTCACTGGCACATGAATAGCATCTTCCAATGGGGACACTTGTACTGGAGACAACTAAGGAAGGATTTCCTGTACTTTGGAGAGATCTCAGCAGTCAAAAAATAGACTCCACTGGGTCATGATTAACGAGAGGGTGACAGCTAAGTTACTTGTTAGTTTAACTAAATTCTGCAGAGTTTGGGAGCCGTGGGCCTCTAATTTCCTACCGCCTGCCTTCAATAGGTCCTTACTGGGAACTTGAGTACGGGATCACCTTTTTGGGTAGTGTATGTCCCGCCATAGACAGTCCCCCCAGCCACCCCCTCCCTTCTTCTCCCTCCCCTTCTTAGTTTCCTTCAGCCTTTCCCTGATCCCTCCCTTCAATTCTTTCTCTTTCTCTCTTTTCTACAAATGTTCTCCATTCATTGGTTAGATCCGGTCTTTCAGGATAGACTGACATACAAGTCTATGCAATTGTTGACTGTAATCACTAGTTACCATCGCTACCCCATGTATCCTTTATCCTACTGTTGATGCTACGGATGTACCCATGCCCAGGACGTTTATTTCTTGTTGTTTTTATATGTGATTGACAATCACCCTCTTGCACTGGTTTCTTTTCTTATATTTTGATATATCAATAAAAACTAATGACGTAAACAAAAAAAAAAACAAACAGCGTTTGCAGCCATCCCCCCTAACGCAGCCATCCCCCCTAACGCAGCCAAAACAGGGTTATTCACAGAGAAGGCAGGAGAGTGAACAATCTACTATAACATAGCTGACAGTGGCGTCACAAAGGGGGTGCGGCCCGCACCCGGGTGACACCAATGGAGGAGTGACTGACAGTCATTTTGTTGTCACCCCTCTCTGAAAAGTGGGGCACTCGGTCATGGACATACCTTATCCCGCCCGGTGACTGTCCCCTCCTCTCTCTGCCAGCGTCCATCACAAGACGGCCGCCGGAAGGTATAAGATCGCCGTGCATGCGCGATGACATCACGGCGGGGTGTCACCCGGTAACCGCTCCAGGGTGACACCCACCCTCGGGATGCCCCCGATAGCTGATTTGGAAACATTCTCCAATTCAGCTCACTTTCCAGTCCAGCTATGTTGTCCTAGAGTGTTCCCTTCTCCGGCCTTCTCCAAACTCTTCCCCCTTCTGGGAATAACCCCGTATAAGTTTCAGCTTTAGCAATGTGCACGGGATTTGTGCTCCTCAACCTATCATAGCGCCCCTCAATAAAACCCCGGCCCCCCCCCCCCGCAGAATATAAAAGTCCATGCAATCTTTGTTTAAAAAATTATATGTTTATATATGCATATAATTTAATCATTTTACAGTGCAATAGCAAATACAACCAAAATCAATAAAGAAACAAAAGCCAGTTTATAAAGTTCATAAATAAAACAATATAACAATCAGGACTTGTAAGAATTTACAACAGATACAAAAAAAGTTAAAAAAGTACAATCTAAAAACGTGTCAACCCAAACACGTGCCAAAGCCTGGACAGGTAACGTACATCCATGTAGAAGAAGGGCCGTTCTAAGCACTGCGGAGTGAGAGGCGACTTTTTGTTGCTCTTCGGTGTGATGAATATACGCGCGGCCCCGAATAACTGGAAGGTGATAGATAATTGGCACAGCCCTAATAAAACGCTAATCATAGAAATCCAATTCACTAGGCCTCCCGTTGTTGTTCCTCACACACACGTCTCGGGATTCGTCACCATTTCCCCGTTCTGTTTCTCTTCCTCTTTCACAAACTGTTCTGCTTCGGTCGGCTCCGGCTTCTCGTCCTCGGGGGCCTTGTCTTTCAGTTTATTGAGCTCCCCGATTTCTGCGGTCCCCTCTGTGTAATGGGGCTCTTCGGGTTTCTTCTTGATGCAGAAGAAGTTGCCGGTAGTCAGGACCAAGGCTGATGTGACCACTTCCACGCCGGCGATGATGAATACGAACATGTATTTGTGGGTGGCATCCAATAGCTTTCCTAAAATGGAAAAAGACATTGTTACTTAGACATTCAAGGACAATGTTACCTTTACTTACGTCCCCTATTAAACCCCCCCACCCGAAGAAAGGATCATTCCTCGGACATGGACCTGGCCAGCTCCAACCCGCACTGCAGGCCCAATCATTCCATTGGGTAGCCATACATTGAGGGATTGCTGGAGGCCACCATAAGTAAGGCTTACCCATGGCAATGAATGGCGTGGCAAACAGGTGCAGTGCTGGACGGGACCTTGTTGGATCAATGTATTGGGGAGGAAGGTCAATATTACCTTAGGGGGTAAGGTAAAGTTTTTGTTTTTTTGGTATTAAGATGTTATCTATTAAGAAGAATAAAAAGTATCCCTTCAAGAGAATCATTCAAGGCAACGTTATGGGGTCTATTTGAAGCCTACCCCCCAAGAGACTCATTCACGGCAAAGGTATGGGGTCTACCCCCTGAAAGACCAATTCAGGGCAACATTCTGAGAGCCAAAGCCCACCCCCCGTAGAGACTCATTCAGGGCAACTTTATGGGTTCTAGTATAGCCTAACCCCCAAGTAACCCATTCAGGGCAAAGTTATGGGGTCTAAAGCCCACCCCCCAAGCTAGTCATACAGCGCTCCCCCAATTGATGGCTTCCTCTGTTGTAGCTCTTGCACAAAATCTGGTTTCAGCTGGTTTTAGTGATGTCATCACCCCCTCCGCCATTTTAGAGTTTTTGGACTTAGCGAGTGGCTGCTCGCCCTGAGCACCGCATCATGAGAGGAAGGCACATGCTTCCCCTCACCCCATACATGGAAGCACCGGGTATTTTGCATGGTTGCGGCGGAGGATGGGGGCAAAATGGGAACGCTGCGAATGTGAGCATCGGTGGATGGAAAAGTGGGCTTTAAAGAGACCCTGTCACTCTTCACTGAATGGGCGAGGTGATGGGGTATATAACACATGAATCGGCTAAACTTTGCTGCCTTGCTCAGTGACTTGGGCGACTTGAGAACTGCAGGCAATGAGCTAATCACATAGATGAACCATTTCACCTGCCGAAGGATTTGATTAGCAGCACAGGTGACACCACTATTTCCTGGTTCAGCTGGGCAGTTTCCGGTGTCACCTCCCATCTGCATTATTACAATGATTATACAATGTCAGGGACACTGGAAGCTGTAAACCTGAAACAGCTCAGAATATAGTTCAAGCTTCTTCCTGGCTATGCCGTGGAGTGAATCACAAGACGAGCTGAACAGAATTCCAGTTCCTTTGGCAGGTAAGACAGTTTACATATATGTATTTAGTCATTTAAAGCTGAACTCCGGGCAATTCCTAGACATTGAAAATATACCTGTGAACGGTCTTCCCAGCAACACAAACTGTAATTCTATTCAGCCAGTAACCACTGTACCTCAATCATACAATGTAGTCCCTGACCCGCCCCCAGCCTACGAGTCATCGAAGGTTGCCACTGTTCTCTCCTCCTGTCAGCGAGTCCTGCTGTTAGAGTGACAGCATTCTAGTACAGCCTGATCACAGCGCTGTCGCTCTCTCTCGCTGCAGAGGGTAACGGAAAGCTGATCTAAAGACAAGTTCAGGTCCTTATACTGGCTGTAGTTAGAATGACAGTGACTTTTCTTTTACTGAATACGCAACTGGAATCAGGAAGGAGCACTCCATAATCACCACATCTATGCATTGTGCATGGGGAGCAGCATCCCTACTGTCACTTCCTTCATCCCTCATCTTCACATTGGTTGGAATGCAGAGGCGTAACTAGAATCTTCAGGGCCCCGGTGCAAGAAACCATGAAGGGCCCCCCCACCCCACAGCAAGCGCAGGACCTCAGGCAGCCGCTTGTTTAAAATGTTAGTGCCGGAATTCTGTCTAGAACACTGACTCAGTATCTGCGCTTACATACAGACGGGATTAACGAGGAAACCAGGCTAAGAAAGGGTCCTCACACAGCAGAATGTGCTGCCTGGCGGTGCCTGCAGCACATTCTACGGGACTTGTGACAGCCTCTCCAACCACGCCGCGCAGCCGCCCGTACATGCTGCGGGTGGCTGTGCGGCAGGGAAGGATCAGCACGATCTTGGGGGGGCCCTCTTCTTCCTCGCTGGGTCCCCCCAAGTGGCAGAACACCAGGGCCCGGTCGCAATTGCAACCGCTGCGACCCTGGTAGTTCCGCCAGTGCTGGAAGGATTTATTTATTTCTATTGGCTGCCAATTAACAAATATCCCCAGCCAGTTCTGTGTCAAATCTGCCAGCTTTGCTCCAAAGTAGGGATGCACCGATACTAGTATCGGTGCCGATGGCGAGTATTTGGGTGAGTACTCGTACTTGCCCAAATGCTCCGATGCCTAGCCCGATACTTCCTGTATCAGGAAGCCGGACAGCGCCTCATTATACGCTGCCCAGCTTCCTGATTGGCGGGGAAGCCGGCTCCATGCTCTCTCGTCGCTTCCCTTCCAATCAGGAAACCGGGCAATATGTAATGACACAGCGCCCAGATTTCTGATTGGCCGGGAAGCCGGCTCAATGCTTTCTCATCAACTAGCTAATCAGGAAGCCAGGTGTCGAGTCCTTACACACCACCTGGCTACCTGAATGGGACTTCTGGTACTTGGTATCGGCGAATACCGAAAAAAAAAATATCGGTACTCGATACCAAAATACCGGTATCAGGGGATCCCTACTCCAAAGCCTTTTGTACTATTTGAGAAATCCGCTGGTCCATGATCCAAAGGGTTATGATGTTCAGCACGTGGCCCGGTCATTTTCACAGTAAGGGCACCATCAGGCCTCACCAGAAACCCCATTGACCCCAGTCAATAAATGATTGGCCAGCTGATGGTTGACAATCACTCAGCGGGTCAAATCCTTCATAAAAGGTGCCCATACACCTGCCGATTATTGTAGGATAATCGGCAGGTGTATGGGCAGCGTGCGACCGCATCTACTGTACGGTCACACCACTTTCGTCTTCCGAGCACGCTGGAAAACCCGCCAAAAATCGTACGATTTTCGGCGGGTTGGTAGCGTGCTTGGAAGACGAAAGCCTCACCGGCCGGTGTGCGCTAGCGCATGCTGCCCGCTCAGCATTGCAATCATCGGTAAGCCCTCCCCTGAGGGGGGCGGGCTTGCGATTATCGCTAGTACGATCTGCCTGTCCAAGATGGGCAGATCATACGAAATTTTTATGACCTTACAACCATCGCACAACCAAAGTCGTGTATGGCCAGCTTAAGAAAAACATTCAGATGGAAATTTATCAAGACTGGAGCAGAGAAAATCTGGAGCAGCTGTGCACGCCAACCAATCAGCTTCTCTTCTTTCGTTTTCAAATCTTTACTGAAGAGAGAAGCTGATTGGTTGCCGTGCACAGCTGCTCCACTTTTGATAAATTCCCCTCAATGTCTTTGGAAAGCATTCAGCAAATACGGAACCAAGAAATGAACTCCACTACAAAGAGTCTGACACTCATGATGGGGAAGACCTCGCTCAGAATCACATTGGACATTGAAGGACCTCTGGTCCGGCTGCCACCTGCGGGTATCACAAATACTTCATAAATCAAACAATGTTTTTTTATAGACGCGGCACACGCCAATGTCCATCATTAATGTTACACGGCACACGCCGATGTCCATAATTAATGTTACACAGCACACGCTATGTCCATAATTAATGTTACACGGCACACGCTATGTCCATAATTAATGTTACACGGCACACGCAATGTCCATAATTAATGTTACACAGCACACGCAATGTCCATAATTAATGTTACACGGCACACGCCGATGTCCATAATTAACGTTGTTACATGAGGCCAATCACACCAAATGAAGATTCCAGTTATTCATTTTTAGTATTTCAATGAAAAAGAAAATGACCCGGCACCACAGCTTGTCCCTATTCCAAAAACCGTGTAAATGATTGCCGCGCTTACCTGCTGATGGAGGTCCGACCAGAACCGCTATAGCCTCCGCCAGAAGCACCAATCCAATAGCGCTGGGGAACTTTTGCGTGCCGACAATGGTCATGAGGACTTCAAACTGCAGAGCGCCAACCATCCCGTACGAGATCCCAAAGAAGATACAGAAGACCACCAAGCCCCCGTAGGTATCCGCCATAGAGCCCATCAAATCGGTAAAACCATTAAATATCATGGAAAAGCCGAGCAGATAGACGCAGCGCGGCCGCACCCATTGAAGACCCGCAATGATGCCACAGGTGGGTCTGGCAAATATGTCGACAAATCCGAGGATGGTGAGGAGGAAAGCCGCCTTTGTGTCTTCAATGCCAATGTCTTTTGCGTAGCTGACCACAAAAACAGGTGGCACGAAAAGCCCCAAAACCATAATGGAGGCCGCAATCGTGTAGATGACGAAGCCCCGGTCTTTGAACACTGAGAAGTCCAGAAGCTTTCTTGGTGCCTTTTTTTGGACTTCTTTGGTCTCCTCCACTTTCTTTGATGATTCCAGGGGTCTCATTAGTGCACCACATGCGCAGCAGTTCAGAAGAAGACCCCCGAGGATAAGGAAGCCACCACGCCAACCAAACTCGAACTGGAGGATCTGCCCCAAGGGAGACAGGCAACAGAGGAAGACGGGGCTTCCAGCCGCAGCTAGGCCATTGGCCAGTGGCCGGCGTTTGTCAAAGTATCTGTTTAACATGATGAGGGAAGGCTGGAAATTCAAAGCTAGGCCCAAACCTGATGGGGGAAAAAAGAATAACCATATATACACTGTAGACTTAAAGTGACAGTAAAGTCAATAATCTTTTTCCCTCCCCTCAATGTTTATGAAAGCAATTCTTTCCTGCCCTTTCCATCTGTCCCTCCAGCGCTGGGTGCGGGTCTCCGATCCAGCGCTGACTCCTCTGGGCTTGCTGGCACTTCCTGTCCCACGGTGTCTGCATGCGGGTGCACGTGTCCATAGACTTACCTTGTGTCTCTCCTCGCGTCCCGGCCGAAAACGTGAACTGCGCATGCAATAATGAGATCTGTACTGTACTCCTACTGCAGTCCCCTGTGTATCTGGACCAGGGGTCTTAAACTCAAATGGCTGGGCACATTTTCTTCCATGGGGCCAGGAGAGAGAGAGACACACAGGAGAGAGAGACACCCAGGAGAGAGAGAGAGCGCCAGGAGAGAGATAGATAGCCAGGGGAGAGAAGAGAGACACCCAGGAGAGAGAGACACCCAGGAGAGAGAGAGCGCCAGGGAAGAGAGAGAGACAGCCAGGAGAGAGAGAGCGCCAGGAGAGAGAGAGATAGCCAGGGGAGAGAGAGAGACAGCCAGGGGAGAGAGAGAGACAGCCAGGAGAGAGAGAGACAGCCAGGAGAGAGAGACAGCCAGGAGAGAGACAGCCAGGGGAGAGAGAGACCGAGACAGCCAGGAGAGACAGCCAGGAGAGAGCCATGTGAGAGAGAGATAAGAGACAGCCAGGAGAGAGAGAGCCATGAGGGACAGCCAGGAGAAAGAGAGGAGAGACAGCCAGGAGAGAGAGCCAGGAGAGAGAGACAGCCAGGAGAGAGGCAGCCAGGGGAGAGAGAGACCGAGACAGCCAGGAGAGAGAGAGGAGAGACAGCCAGGAGAGAGCCATGAGAGAGAGAGACAGCCAGGAGAGAGTGAGAGAGAGATAAGAGACAGCCAGGAGAGAGAGAGCCATGAGAGACAGCCAGGAGAAAGAGAGGAGAGACAGCCAGGAGAGAGAGCCATGAGAGAGAGACAGCCAGGAGAGAGTGAGAGAGAGGAGAGGCAGCCAGGAGAGAGAGAGGAGAGAGCCAGGAGAGAGAGACCATGAGAGAGAGACAGCCAGGAGAGAGTGAGAGAGAGGAGAGGCAGCCAGGAGAGAGAGAGGAGAGAGCCAGGAGAGAGAGACCATGAGAGAGAGACAGCCAGGAGAGAGAGAGAGAGAGAGAGAGGAGAGAGACAGCCAGGGGAGAGAGAGAGAGACAGCCAGGAAAGAGAGTGAGAGGAGAGAGACAGCCAGGAGAGAGAGAGAGAAGAGAGACAGCCAGGAGAGAGAGAAGAGAGAGACAGCCAGGAAAGAGAGGGATGAGAAACAGCCAGGAGAGAGAGAAGAGAGAGGGAGGAGAGAGAGAGGAGAGACAACCAGGAGAGAGAGTGAGAGGAGAGACAGCCAGGAGAGAGAGAGAGAGGAGAGACAGCCAGCAACACATCTGCCTGAAGAAGAACCCCTGTACCCTTCAAAACTTATCCGCACCCTGTGTTTCAGACACCTGCTTGCTCCCTGAGTTCCACTGTCCCTTCATGCCCTGTGCCTCCTCCATGCAGTCGGAAGTTGGAACACCAGGATCAGGTGGTTCCATGCATCTTGTGTCCGGATTTCAGCCACCCCCCTATCGGCGACCCTGCTGCAGGCTGGTACTTTGAGACCCCTGAGCTGGTACTTTGAGACCATTTGCCTGTTGGCAGCACTGGGAGGGAGAGTTTGGTGTACAAAGTTGTCATTTATCCCCCCAGAACTTCCTCCAAGCGGTTATACTCCATCTACGTGTAGAGAGTTTGAAGGGGCTGTATAGGGGTTTCCAATCAGTTTATTTATTTATTGTATTCAGGAAAATGAATACTTTGTGTTGACAGTCTCATCCAGTAGGTGGCGCTCTCTGCTAATTTTTACATGGTATCCAGGCGCTCTTGAAGTGTATTTCCACTTTTCACAGCCAAATCGGGAGAACCCCAACTTTATATTTGTTACACGTTCCCATTCACATAGCAGAACTTAGAAATATAAAAACTACGGCTTGTATATTGTTTGTTTTTTTGTGAAAAAGAAGGTTTAATTTGAGCTGAATTGTCCTCTGGAATAGAAGGGGCGGGGGGGGGGGGGGGAAGCTGGCTGTGCTGTGCTGTGCTGTGCTTTTAGATCTCATTATCAGCTGTAAACTAGATCTGAACACCTGATCTGTCCTAACAAAGGGTTACAGGTCTAGGAGCATTGTATGTCAATGAGAAGAAGCTCAGAGTGTCCCCCAGTCTTTCTATGGGGACAGACGGAGTTTCCCAACACTTTGAAATTGTACAGAGAAGCTTGTAGTCAGCCCAAAGGCCACTTACACAGAGGCAACTACAAGAAAGAAATATTTTTAAAATAATGCAATTTAAGCTCCTCGCCTGTTTTGTTTTTTTACAGAGCTCAGTACCAGGGCAGGAGACTTGATTTAAATTATGTTATACGTACAGGTCTTGCTCCTCCCCCAGCCTGTTATTGACAGAGAGAGGAGAAGCAGCAGACTGATGAGCTCATCTCTGTCACACTGCTCTCTCCCACAATAATTTTCTTGTCAGCACTGGGCACATCATATTGGCTCCTTGTGCTGCTTCTCCCGCACCCATCCTGAGCTCTGCTGTACCAGGACTGTAAGAGGCTGATACCACCTTTAAAAAAGTCATAATAAAACGGATCCAAAACCATCACAATTTCTATTAATGAGACACTCCTAAAATGCACCAAAACCTTCTCGTCTGAGAGACCAATGAGCAGGACCCATGGCTGAAGGTAGGTGATAGGGCGAGGTCATCTGATTGGCATTTCATGGCGATTGCTCACCTGTGATGACTCCAGCAGTGAGATAAACGGTGATGATACTTGTACAGAACGATGCACACACCATCCCGAGGGAGGCAAAGAGGCCGCCGACCATCATTACCGGCCGGCACCCAAAGCGGTTCACACAAATGCTGCACAGGGGACCTGGGAGGTAAGGAACAAAGGTTAGGCTGATGACATTCAAGATCTTAGAGAATCCATTACAACACAGTGCTTTCCCTCCCCTGGCCTACAGACAGACCCCTCCTCCTCTCATACAGACAGACCCCTTCTCCTCACCTGGCCTACAGACAGACCGTTCCTCCTCCCCTGGCCTACAGACAGACCCTTCCTGCTCCCCTGACCTACAGACAGACTCCTCCTCCCCCTTCCTACAGACAGACCCTTCCTGCTCCCCTGGCCTACAGACAGACCCTTCCTGCTCCCCTGGCCTACAGACAGACCCCTCCTGCTTCCCTGGCATACAGACAGACCCCTTCTCCTCACCTGGCCTACAGACAGACCGTTCCTCCTCCCCTGGCCTACAGACAGACCCTTCCTGCTCCCCTGACCTACAGACAGACTCCTCCTCCCCCTTCCTACAGACAGACCCTTCCTGCTCCCCTGGCCTACAGACAGACCCTTCCTGCTCCCCTGGCCTACAGACAGACCCCTCCTGCTTCTCCCCTGGCCTACAGACAGACCCCTCCTGCTCCTCCCCTGGCCTACAGACAGACCCCTCCTCCTCCCCTTGCCTATAGGCTCAGGGTGCATCCAAGCACGAGTATCATTTCACATTATATGACGGATTGATATTATTCTGTACACATGTAGGATTAGCAATGATTCCACAGACAATAGTGCTGTCTATAGAGAACAGCGGCAATGATGAGACGAAGCGCGCTGCTTTTCCTGAACAGGTTAATCCCGGCATTGATGGATTAAGGCCAGATACCAGAGGAGCCGATTTATACTCCTCAGATAAGCAGCTCTGGAGAATACACTCAGGACAGTCACACACGGCTAATAGGAGTCTTCTAATCAAATGACAAACTATCCCGGGGGAAGTGCATGCTGGGATGTAGGGACTTTTCCGTTATCTGGGTACCAAGTGCGGATGGAGGATTTGCATTCTCAGTAAAAGCTCTTATGTTTCAATAAGCATCTCACTGCACTTTCAGCTCATATCTTTTGTAATCAGAATATATATTTCAGGTAAAGATCACAGTAACTGAAGGTCCACTATAGTGAGAAACGGCTGTGTTAGTGCCAAGTATTTTGCAGCAATTATTGGCGAAACGCATCAGTAGCCTTGGTGCGCTTGGCCCCTCTTGTAGGAGTCAATGGTTTTACACATTCAGTGGCCGCTTGGATCCCGTCCACCATCTTCAGCCGTGAAGGACAATGTAGAGCAATTACTGGGAGCCCGTCTCTTCACAAGACTTTAGATAAGTGCTGTCACATATGATCAAGCTTTATGATTGGAGGCTCGTATGAAATCCTGCTGGGGTACTGCAGTCTTTGCAAAGACATTACGGAATGTTCTGCCATGTGCTCTATGAACTGATTACCTATCCATGATCGATCCCTGCTAGCGTGTACCCGCAAGTGAGGGGCACTTCAGCTGTGGTGACACTACAAATCCCTTCATGCTTCTGCCTCTAGGCGTCATGCCTGTGGCTGTCCGTCTTGCAATGCCTCGTGGGACATGTAGTTCTATAACGGCAGGAGTGCCGTGGTTGCCTACCCCTGGTGTCCTGGATGTAGTTGACCTATAGAGAATTGGACCGTGGGGTGGGAAGTTGTCGATCCACATGGAGCCAGGAATCTTGTGCTTTCGGCAATCATTCTCCAACAATACCCAACACCAAATCCCTCTGAATAGGATACTGGATTGGAACTGCTGCGTTGAGCAGCAAAAGGACCGCTGCTGGATGTGATGTACGGCAACAGACTACCTGCACCGGACGTACTTATGGTAGTAGGTGCTGGAGGTGATTTTTATACAACATCACAAGGAGAATACAAACAGACCGAGACCCTCCTCAGATTAATCCCTGTGGCCCCACCGCAAACTAGCAGGGTGGCGAGGCATAGTACAGTGTGGCCCCCCCTCTTTTTGATTGATCTGGGCCTATCCTGACACCACTTTGGTTTACACTAGATAACCTGCCTCTGGTCCCCTGAGGAAGCGCACCAGCGAAAGGCGTTGAGAGAATAAACGCATTCCACAATTGAAATATCATTGTGAAGATGCACACGAATTATCTGCGCCTCTTAAAACCCCAGATGAATTGTTTTTGTTGTTAGTCTATAATAGGGGGTGAGACGCACATGGCATTGCCTGATCCTGGGGATATATACTGTATGTGAGTGAAAAGAAGGGAACGTTCCCTGTGCATGACACGTCTAGGAAAGCAGACGGACGGTCCAGCTGTCTTTTAGCTTTCGTGACCTCCTGTAAGATCAATCCGTATTCTCCCGGCTGCCGGGACCTACGCCAGAATGAATTACACTGCTCTCATCCTGGACATGATATGGAGGCAGCACACAGGGCTCAGCCACAGAACCCAAGACAAGAAGCTGGGATATTTTCCCTTACTTCCTGTTCTGTCAGATGCCTGTCGGAAGACAGGAAGTCAGGAGAAATCTCCCAAAGGTTGACATAACCATTCCGGGGGCCTATCCAAACCTAAAGTACAGTTTTGGCCGGGGTTTGGAGTGTGTGTATAGATGTCATTTTTGTAAAGCGTGACTAGACTTACCAATTTAAAGGAGAACTAGGAGGTGGGTGTTTTTCACTCAACCGTATAGTTCGAGCCGACCTGTGACAATGAAACTGTCACAGGTCAGCTCTATTGATCGTGAAGTGAGCGAACACATACCGGCGCTCGCTCACTTCCCGATTGTCTCCCTGCAATGAGAGGTGACTGTCACTCACGGCTCCCCGCAGGAATTACCTCCCTCCCTTCTCCGATCCTCCAGCGGAACAGACAGGGGAGGGGGCAGGCACAGCTGGCTCTGCCTCTAGATAGGCAGAGCCAGCTGTCACGCAGCTGGGTGGATCTCAACAGCACTGTCGGGATCCGTCCCGTCTGCGGCGCTCTGAGCATATAGTGAGCAATAGCTCGCTATATACTGAGCTTTGGGTCACAGGAGGACGTTAGAATATGTCCTCCCGTGACCCTTAAGAGAACTATGGGATAAAAAGGTTACCCCATAGTTCTCTTTTAATGTCTCCCAAAACAGTTACTTTTAAGATGTGCCAACTGTCAAGGTTGCCAGTGTGTTTATTTCAGCTCTTCATGCCCTCTAATGGCTGGTGTCATGTGATCACATGTGCAGCACCATGGCAACTGCAATCCAAATACAGGCTAAGATGGCGCCTTCCTTGGCTGTACGAGATAAGAGGGTGAAGTTCCGCTTTAATGTCATTCAGTTCGGGTACACACCTACTTTTGGTTATGGTGGACTGGTCCTTCAGGTGCTCTACCATTGTAAGGAAAGGTGAATTTGGTGTATGTAGTTACTGATTCATTCCAATGTTAAACCCCCATTTCAGAGGTCTTCTCTAACAATACCAAGAAGTGTTTTTTTGGGGATTCTTCTTCAGTGCCGAGATGCCCAGCATGAGCCTGATGGCACGCTCTATGCATGTATGGTTAAATGTGTGTGATAGGCACTTACCTGTTCCATATAACATTGCGAGTAAGATGGAAGAAATCCATGCTGTGTCACTGTATCCAATCCCGAATTCCCTGATGAGTTCCTTAAAGAAGACGCTGACCGCCTTAGGGAAGGCGTAGGAGAATCCGGTGATGACAAAACATCCGAAGAGCACAGCCCAGCCCCAGCCGCCATCGGGGGCCTTCACATTACTTGGATTGTCGTCTATAACCACCGCTCCCATGGTGCTCTATTCTGACCGCCTGTAAGAAACCACGAAGAGGATAATGTGATTAGGAGGAATCAATTTCCTAAGGTCATGCATGATTATGTACAGACTCCCTCAGCACTGGAACTAAAGGGTTCTAAAGATGTCTTCCCAACCACACTGTGATGGATCTACCCGTAGGAATACGTGTTCAAGAAGAATCTCCACACTGAGGGCTCATTCACACTAGCTGCATGGTATACCCAAAGCCCACCACATTGCACACCACATCCTAGGGCATATCGGAAACAATTGTCTTCCATGTACCCTAGTGATGACTGCCGTTGGTGGTGGTGATGACTGCCGATGGTGCGGAAAAACACCAGTCACCGCCGTATGTAGGAACGGGCAATGAAAGTGAACCTGTAGATGAAAGAACCTACTTACCTTTCCACTGGGAGCACACAGATATGCCCAGTGCTCCCGGGTATTGGAAGCACGTGACTCATTCCGCTTCCAGTTCCTCCCACATAATATACCACTGATGCCTTGTGATTGGCTCAAAGCTCCCACATGGGAGAGAGTCCTCCAAAAGCACAGGGCTCTTTTTGCTCCTAGTGGCTAAATGGAGAAGCAAAAGGATGAAGAATATGTGCTGCTGGGGGTGTGTGGGGGGATGTTAAGTGACCCTGTTGCTTTCTCAGTATGGGCAAAGCACAGGTTTGCTTTAAGCTGTTAATAATAATTAATAACATTGCAGTCTTCCCTCTCAGGAATGACTGTGTGTACTATTATTTACTTATGTAGTATTCTCTCCCTGTCAGAGTAGACATGTCAGGCTGTGGGGCTCCCATGAAATCTGTTCCCTTCCTGACTTCAGAGTGAGTAACTGAGACTCTGTCCAAGCACTGGAGGAGGTTGAAGTGGTCCATTAACAAAGCTTTTTGTTCTTTCCTGCATTCTTGACATCACCTTTGTTATACAACAGTCTACTGACAGTCTGATATCAGCACTGCACTCGGACAGGAGATAGGACGCACTCCGTTAGGACCTGACACTCAGACACTTCTGCTCTGACAGGGAGAGAATACAAACAGGTAACAGCAAATGAAGTAAACCCAAAGAGGTAAGGGAGCTCCATTATACCAATTCAAGAGCAGAGATTCAGACGGTTACAGATTTCCTCTGGTAACTGGTTTACTAAAGAGAGAATCCGCCCAACCTGTTATTTCAGTTTTTAGGTGTTCGTAGGCTGAATCACCTTAAAGACGTGGGTGCCAAGATCTCTATCTTGCAATTTCCAGCCCTGTTATAAAATGGTCTCATTCTCTCTCCTGTATTTTTCATTCATTTCATAAACACCGGAAATAGAGACTTCTTAGCAGAGCCTTTTTATCTATTCATCCCGCCAGCGCCAGAGAAGGTGTGATGTGCCTGTCATCTTTGTCACCTCTTGTCCATTATGTTTACAAATCCCACTTATCCCCAAGAGCCACTTTTTCTGCTCTGTGCAGTTGCCTAGCAACCATGGATCCATGTGAAATGGACAAAGATTGACGTCTTCATAAACCGCAAAGCCTTAATGCAAACAAGCTCCCATACTGCTTTTGACATCAGCCCCCCACCACAGCTGAGCGCGCACATTTAACATTTAAAGGAAATTTATAGTGTTTGGTATAACATTTCTTTTTTTTTCTTATTATGATACTAAAAATAAAATGTATAAAATATATATTTTGCTAGTTTTCACTTTTCAATGTTCACCGGGCAGTTTTGGAGTGGGGACAGATTAGAACTGCTTTTGAGATTTTACTGTTAGCTGGGGCCATTTTTAGAGGGATTTCCCTGCACCTAAGACCATGTCACACCAGTGATTCTGTCCCTAGGGCCAACTCGCCCAGGACAGGATCGCTAATCTGTTTCTATGGAGTCACTTCCTTGCTAGCCAGATCAGAACGATGACACTCCTTTGCCTGCCCTGAACATCCGGATCAGTAAGATGTCACTCCCTCACTGGCCCTGAACATCCGGATCAGCAACATGTCGCTCCCTCGCTGGTCCTGAACATCCGGATCAGTAAGATGTCACTCCCTCACTGGCCCTGAACATCCGGATCAGCAACATGTCGCTCCGTCGCTGGCCCTGAACATCCGGATCAGTAAGATGTCGCTCCCTCTCCGGCCCTGAACATCCGGATCAGTAAGATGTCGCTCCCTCACTGGCCCTGAACATCCAGATCAGTAAGATGTCACTCCCTCACTGGCCCTGAACATCCGGATCAGTAAGATGTCGCTCCCTCGCTGGCCCTGAACATCCGGATCAGTAAGATGTCGCTCCCTCGCTGGCCCTGAACATCCAGATGAGTAAGATGTCGCTCCCTCGCTGGCCCTGAACATCCGGATCAGTAAGATGTCACTCCCTCACTAGCCCTGAACATCCGGATCAGTAAGATGTTGCTCCCTTGCTGGCCCTGAACATCCGGATCAGCAACATATCGCTCCATCACTGGCCCTGAACATCCGGATCAGTAAGATGTCGCTCCCTCGCTGGCCCTGAACATCCGGATCAGTAAGATGTCACTCCCTCACTAGCCCTGAACATCCGGATCAGTAAGATGTTGCTCCCTTGCTGGCCCTGAACATCCGGATCAGCAACATATCGCTCCATCACTGGCCCTGAACATCCGGATCAGTAAGATGTCGCTCCCTCGCTGGCCCTGAACATCCGGATCAGTAAGATGTCACTCCCTCACTAGCCCTGAACATCCGGATCAGTAAGATGTTGCTCCCTTGCTGGCCCTGAACATCCGGATCAGCAACATATCGCTCCATCACTGGCCCTGAACATCCGGATCAGTAAGATGTCGCTCCCTCGCTGGCCCTGAACATCCGGATCAGTAAGATGTCACTCCCTCACTAGCCCTGAACATCCGGATCAGTAAGATGTTGCTCCCTTGCTGGCCCTGAACATCCGGATCAGCAACATATCGCTCCATCACTGGCCCTGAACATCCGGATCAGTAAGATGTCGCTCCCTCGCTGGCCCTGAACATCCGGATCAGTAAGATGTCACTCCCTCACTAGCCCTGAACATCCGGATCAGTAAGATGTTGCTCCCTTGCTGGCCCTGAACATCCGGATCAGCAACATATCGCTCCATCACTGGCCCTGAACATCCGGATCAGTAAGATGTCGCTCCCTCGCTGGCCCTGAACATCCGGATCAGTAAGATGTCACTCCCTCACTAGCCCTGAACATCCGGATCAGTAAGATGTTGCTCCCTTGCTGGCCCTGAACATCCGGATCAGCAACATATCGCTCCATCACTGGCCCTGAACATCCGGATCAGTAAGATGTCGCTCCCTCGCTGGCCCTGAACATCCGGATCAGTAAGATGTCACTCCCTCACTAGCCCTGAACATCCGGATCAGTAAGATGTTGCTCCCTTGCTGGCCCTGAACATCCGGATCAGCAACATATCGCTCCATCACTGGCCCTGAACATCCGGATCAGTAAGATGTCGCTCCCTCGCTGGCCCTGAACATCCGGATCAGTAAGATGTCACTCCCTCACTAGCCCTGAACATCCGGATCAGTAAGATGTTGCTCCCTTGCTGGCCCTGAACATCCGGATCAGCAACATATCGCTCCATCACTGGCCCTGAACATCCGGATCAGTAAGATGTCGCTCCCTCGCTGGCCCTGAACATCCGGATCAGTAAGATGTCACTCCCTCACTAGCCCTGAACATCCGGATCAGTAAGATGTTGCTCCCTTGCTGGCCCTGAACATCCGGATCAGCAACATATCGCTCCATCACTGGCCCTGAACATCCGGATCAGTAAGATGTCGCTCCCTCGCTGGCCCTGAACATCCGGATCAGTAAGATGTCACTCCCTCACTAGCCCTGAACATCCGGATCAGTAAGATGTTGCTCCCTTGCTGGCCCTGAACATCCGGATCAGCAACATATCGCTCCATCACTGGCCCTGAACATCCGGATCAGTAAGATGTCGCTCCCTCGCTGGCCCTGAACATCCGGATCAGTAAGATGTCACTCCCTCACTAGCCCTGAACATCCGGATCAGTAAGATGTTGCTCCCTTGCTGGCCCTGAACATCCGGATCAGCAACATATCGCTCCATCACTGGCCCTGAACATCCGGATCAGTAAGATGTCGCTCCCTCGCTGGCCCTGAACATCCGGATCAGTAAGATGGCTCTCCCGTGTGATTTTGCTCCTAGCAATATGTTGGAAGCAGCAGCAGAATTGCTCATGTGACATGGTTCTTAAGCGCACCACACACATTACAATCTGAAGGGCAACATGTTTCTGCCAACAACTATGTAGCGTGGTACTAATTAGAGGTGCGCCGAAATTAAAATTTTAAACCAAACATTTTTAAAATGTCAGGCTGAAACCGAAACCCAAAATAATTTTCTTTTTAACCCTTTTAAATATTTTTTTAATAAACTTGTAATTTTTGTATATTTATTTTTATTAAATATTTTAATTTTTTAACTTTACTGCTGGGGGCCTCAATCTCTTTTGGCAGCCCCTGTACTGAACATCAGGATCAGTAAGATGTCGCTCCCTCTCCGGCCCTGAACATCCGGATCAGTAAGATGTCGCTCCCTCTCCGGCCCTGAACATCCAGATCAGTAAGATGTGACTACCTCACTGGCCCTGAACATCCGGATCAGTAACATGTCGCTCCCTCACTGGCCCTGAACATCCGGATCAGCAAGATGTCGCTCCCTCACTGGCCCTGAACATCCGGATCAGCAACATGTCGCTCCCTCACTGGCCCTGAACATCCAGATCAGTAAGATGTCGCTCCCTCACTGGCCTTGAACATCCGGATCAGTAAGATGTCGCTCCCTCACTGGCCCTGAACATCCGGATCAGTAAGATGTCGCTCCCTCACTGGCCCTGAACATCCGGATCAGTAAGATGTCGCTCCCTCGCTGGCCCTGAACATCCGGATCAGTAAGATGGCTCTCCCGTGTGATTTTGCTCCTAGCAATATGTTGGAAGCAGCAGCAGAATTGCTCAT